AAAGGAAAAAGAACAAAGCTATCCCTAGATAGCCAGGCAAGCTATCTCTGGTAGCTTAGAAGTCTAATAGCCATTGGCTGGGCACAAGACCCATTATTAAGATTTAGGGAACAATAAGATTTCAGCAAAGGCCCCTTTCTTTCTCATAGACGTCTTAAGAATATCAATTATTGATAACTTCATTTGAAGTCCTTTCCCAGGCTCCTAGACTTCTCAGAATTCCTTCATCCCTCTCCTATTCCTGTGGGTATATTACTACCATGCTCCTCAGAACAAATCACTCTTGCAGTTACATTCTTTAAGTCACACTCTTGTGGGAGACCTTGAGACCTTTCCAATTAATGAACTCTTGTAATCAATCCATATATTTATAGTATATATCTGTATGTTAGATGTCATTTGTAACAGACATTGTGAATAAAATTGTTACTTATAAAGTCTTCACTGCCTCCGATACGTTAACTCACGATAATGAACGTGTATGCACCAATCGAAGAAAAGATGAAGAACTGCAGGATCATTTCTACGATCAGTTGGAAAATATGTATATATTATGAGTTTTTGGTGGAAACGGAAGAAAAGAGATTTTCTAGTGAAATTAGAAAGCAGTCAACATTCTTTAACTCCTCACCCGTTAGTCTCACATCAAAAAGCTATTTATAAAATTAATAGTAAATTTTATCTTCTTTATCGTTGTCTATAATAATAATTTCCACAAAATGCATAGTTTCGGAGTCTTGTCCAAAAGACTATAAAAAGTTCGGCAATTTAGTTTTTTTGCATATATCTCTAAACGCAATGGGCCATTTCGTTACGGAACATCAAATTAAAATTTATCTCAAAAAACTTAAAAGACCGAAGATAAACCGATTATTTGAATTTTTTCCTCATCCAACTTCCATCCGACCGGCTTAATTTGATGACTTTGGCGTCGCATTTTTTCAAAACGCAACTGTGTACATCGTCAGTCAAGGTGAATTCTCATATCAGAGATATAGATGTGATTACATCATATCTAAATTTCAACCGTCAGTTCTTCCAATTAGTCATATGTGACTTCAATGCAAAGATTGGACGAGAACACTAATTCAGGTCCATTATCGGAAGCCAAAGCCTCTCACAAAAATAGCAATGACAATGGAATGAGATGTATCAGTCTCTGAGCAGCTAAAGGTTTAGTAGTACACCTGGGTTAGCTCCAAAGGAACCAAAAACCAAATTGACTATGTGCTGGTAGACAAGAGAGACCAGTGGTCTATAGAAGATGTAAAAAGCTATCGTGGAGCAGACTGTGATTCGGACGATTCTTTGATTAGAATTAAACTATGTCCCGAGATTGAAGCCAATTCACAAAATTGATGATTGAGTGGAAAGAAGCAGGCATGAAGTTCGTAATTTAAAAAATCATGAAGAAAAAATACCAACTTGCTGCAGTGCTGAAATATAAATTCGAACCCATGGGCTCAGAGAGCCTTACGGTGAACCAACGCTGGGAGGAAATAGAGAAAGGGCCAAAAGAAACGGGTGGGGTGATAGGTATTCAGGAGAAATGAAAAGCTAAGATGTGGTCCACAGAAAAGGCAGCTGGAGGCATGCGAAAAGACAGTAGAGGACAAAAAAAAAAAAAAAAAATTCTCTGCCTAGCCACAACTGTTAGTTACTCTAGACAAGTATACATCCGCTAAGAAAAATTAAAACAAAACAATAACGTCGGCAAAAAGGGAATTCTTCAAGGAAAGATTGCAAATTATTGAGGACAACTGGTAGGCTAGAGATATACGCGAATTTTAGGTAGATATTAGAAAAGAAAGGTTAGAATATAAAGCGAGAAATATGGAAATGCGAGGAAAAGATATTGAGCATCTCAATAAAAGTCTTATAACCACACGAACGAAGAAGGCATAGACCTCGACCTAGAAGAGGTTGATCAACCAGATACACTGGATGTAGAAATAGCTATCGAAAGCCTTAAAACAAGAATGGCCTCAAATAGAAAATCTACTATCAGAACTGTTTAACGATGGGGGAGACGACTCTAGAGCCAAGCTACTACAACTAATCCAAAAATTATGGGAAGAGATAAGGATACCTGAGGCTTGGAATAGGAGCCTCTCTATCCTATAAGAAAGGCTCCGTGTATGAGTGTAGTACACTCCTTCTGGTAGCCTAAAAGATAATGATCTACATCCTACCAAACCGGTTATATATGTATTATGAAAATATAATAAGCGACCACCAAGCTAGATCCAGAAAAGGAAGGAGCAGGCTAGGACCAGATCTTCATTCTAAAACGAGTACCCGAAAAAATATGAGAAGTAACTGAGAAGGTCCATGCCCTATTTTTCGATTTCAAAGCAGGCTATGATTCTTTGGACACAAACTTCCTTTATAAAATCATAACTGAACTGGGAGTTCTTGATAAATTGGTTAGATTGACAAATACGTATACAATTGATCCTAAATGTCCTATCCTGATACAAGGAGAGGTATCTGAAGCCTCCAAAGTTCAGGTAGAAAAATTCAAATACATCGGCTACACTATTATCTCAATGAATGACCAACGGTCAGAAATAGACTAGCGCAAATAGAGCTTTCTTCTCCCTTTTAAAGGTATTGAAATTTCGAAAAATCTCAAATTAAGAGTGTACAATCCTATGATATAGCCAGTTCTAATATATTGCTGTAAGACCTGTACACTAACCAGCAGTAATGAAGAAAGAAAAAAATTTAAAAAAAACCCCGAAAGTATTGAAAGATTTAAGAAAAATCCTCCGCACGATAACCAGAGCGATCTGATATCAGAGTATTAACACATGGAGTGGAAACACCAATAAAGAATTGCTTACAGAAACTGATTAATCAATATCCCATGTTATGAAGGCATGGAGGTTATGATGAGTGGGGCATATAGCTCGTAGCAATCCACCTGCAAGCCTCTACCTAACAATAAATACCTTAATCAAAGGCAAAAGACCAAGTAGAAGGCCAAAAAGCCGAAGGATGGATAGAATCAACAAAGATGCAATTGAGCTGCGTGCAGATAAGTGGAAAGAAATAGTTCAAGACAGGCAAAGATGGAGCAGTCTTGTTCAGACGGCAAAAGATCTAGAAGATTTGTAATGTCTACAGTTTTCCCTCTACCCTGTTTGTTTGATATAATAAACGAAAATTGATAAAAGAAATGAAAAAAAAAAAGGGTATCAAATCACATCATTTCTTTACACAGCTTGAGGTGAATCTCAATTTTTTTCCAAATGAACATGAACCTGATTAATATGGACTTCTTCGTTCTTCCCTTTATATGGCTATGTCAGGGAGTAAAAAAACAAACTTAGTGCTCCTCCTTAGGTCCTCCAGACTTCCGAACAGCTTGGTTCCATGTTCCAGTTGCCGGCGGGAATCTACAAGAGAAACACCTCACACCACTAGCGGATCCAGGATTTAATTTTTGGGAAGGGGGGGGCTTCAGCCCGAGAGCTTTTTTTTTCATAAAAATAACGATAATTACTTTGGAAAAAAAGAAAGAAACTAACTACCTGTATGAAATGGTGTTTAAGTGATTCCTAAAGCCCTTTTAATATTACTCACACGAACAATAATACTTTAAGCGATACTTTTTTAATATTTTTTTCGATAAAACATGGTTATATTTTGCCATTTTAGGAGGGGGGGGCTTCAGCCCCAAAGCCCCCCGTAGATCCACCCGTGTCTCACACCATAATCTTTTGTCCATTTTGGGAAGTAATGCGTAATGTCCAGTTTTCCTTGACCATCGTAAAAAATGTAAGCAGACTACGTGCACCTTTCGGCCAACATCTCCGCCTTTTGTGCCATTTGTTGGGTTTGTTCCCACGCAATTGATTTTTTGGTAGGATCTAGCCGACTCCTACCGTCCTCAGCTCCATGGTACTACGGTAGCATGGCTGCATGTCAGCAGGGATATTTATAGACCTCCCGGTCTAGATCAGCCGTGTTCAATCGAAAGCAGGGTCACCTAGGGCAGGATGCGGTTCTTCAACGCGCACGGATGGTCTTGCCATTAGCGTCATCGAAGTCTCTACTTACAGTTTCTCATGCTTTTCGGCTACTCCCCTGGTTTTGAGTGAGGACCAGTCTCTAGGTCTTCCCTAGCCAAAGATACTAAATCTCCTTAGCACCTTGACCCTTCTCCAAGTTTTAATAAACCTTTTCCGTAGAAATATGTTTCAGAAGTAATAAATATGTCTATTACTAAAAGTATTTATTTATTTTTATTGATACCCTTAACATTTTCTTTCTAAATACTATAAACAGTAAGCTTCATGCAATTCACATTGAATAAAACCATAGTGCCCAACACCTAACACAGCCTATAAGCCTGCACACAGATGAAAAAAGGTTGGAAACCCCTGCTTTACATAGTTTTGATTGCCTAGGATAATCTGTTCCCGCCATAATTTGAATACATTAGGAAATGAAACTCCAATTGAACAAATTGAGAAGTATACAATTTATTAACATTACACTAACTGTTTTTCTTTGGAATATTATTATCCAAAACCAAACAGCACCCTAATAAATAGATATATCTTAAAATATATTTCATAAATTGACTGTAATTTTAAGTGTTTGATTCATCAAACTAAATGTTGATTAAAATGGCATAGTACAGTAAATTTAGTTAAGATAATAACAATATCACACAATTAATTACCATTTTATTTCATCAATCAACAACTTAAAATTACTGGTATTGTGGTTTTACCATGAATTAATTTCTTTTAAATTTAATTGTTTTACCAAACTCAATTTAATGTTGATCACTTACTGTCACATATAATCATTGATCATTTACATCACATACACATCAAGTTGATGTGTATCATTTAATTTCTAGGCGAACTAAACATGTTCTCTGTTTGGTGCATGTAAGTTTACTATAGTTATTCCTTACCTTAGAAGTAATTTAATTTTTGTTAGATGTCATCTAGTTATTATTAATTGAATAATCTTTTTTTTAGATTGTTGCCACAATTAAATGATTTGATGTCAGAAAAATCTGTTGGATATTTATTGGCTATATCAAACACTAGCCCCCGTCAAATTGAAAAGATGCTCGAAGGCATGGGTTTTACAGCAGGGAATATCCAAATTAAAACTTTAACTAGTCTAAATTACGCTTTAATACGATTTACAAAGGGAATTTAATACTTTTTTCATGTATGAGGTGCTGTTTAAAATTGATATGTTTTTGATTGATATGTTGTTTGATTGATGTGTTATTGTTTTCAGAATAAATCATGTTAATACTTTTTTTAATTTTTCTTTAACCTTCACTTTCATTTACTTTATAATTGTTATAGATATTTTTAGGTGTAGGTTAGGTTTGGGTAAAAGGCATTGGACTCCTAGTTGTGGCATGAAGTAATAGGATTTATTAATAAACCATTGTGACCAAACGATTAAATCCTTGTTGTTTATATGTTTCAATGTTTTTTTTCTTTTGTGATCAACAAAGTTTTCATATTCAAGGCAAAAACTCCGAATTATAGCCTTGAAATCTTCCAGGATGATTTGCAATGATTTCTATACTTGACATTTATAATCTTAATCCTTGATAAAATATTGATAGGATGCATAAGTTTCAAGCATTTGATCAGATTAACTTTGACTGTTTTTTTTTTGTTTGTTTATTATTCCTCGATACCTCTATCTCGCCATTTCTGGCATAAGAGAGGTTTATTTCTTTATTTTTTAAAATATATTTTCCACCCTCCCATGCCACCAGCGCAAACGGGTGTATGCAGTAGAGTGATGTTAAGCATTAATGCATAATAACACACTACTGGCTTCCCGAATCTGGAGGTCTTCCTGGGACTGGTCAGTCTTCTCCTTCAGTGGGCACCTAGGTTGAAGTGAGCTGGAAGTTTTCTTCATTCCCCAACTGAGAAAACTCCTCTTCAGTGAGGATGTAAATTCCCGTGGTTCTCATTAACCTGGCTCTTAATCCGTCGGAAGCAGTGCAGGCTGTCACCACATGCTCAACAGTCTGCGGAACACCACAAACGGGGCAGTGGGGATCTATATCCTGTCCGAGGCCATATTGAGAAAACATTGGCAGTTTCTTCCAGGGTGGTTGTCTGAGTGCCTGAGGCTGCAATTGTCTGCAGCGGGGACAACTTACCCAATGCCACCCTGTACGGAATACCCCAGGGATTCTTCAAAGACTCTTCGACGATGAAATCGTCCCAAGACTTCCACTTTTATGAGCAAACCGCATTTCGATAAATCCTGGCTTTTAACTTGTACTCATTGCGAAGTACAGTGGGCCTCTCGTCGCTTCTGCACCTCTGATATGACCGCCGGGCCTTGTATAGATCTCTTTTTAGAGCAGTTAAGGCTGGCGTCCACCATGGGATAGGTCGAACCCTCGCCTTCCGGTGCTTGAGTGTTCGGCAGCATCACGAATGTTGTTGGTAATCCTGGACACCTTGTAGTCCAGATTGTCGACTACATTCATCTCTGCCGCTTCCCATTCCTCGTCTGCAATCACTCCCTCCAGGCAGGACCTAAAGACACTCCAGTCATTTATTTTAGTGACGAAATCCTTATCAGTACCGTGGGAACATCCTGGATCATTTACCAGGCCAATTGTTATCGCAATGTGGTCGGAACTCGTATCAGATCTGAGAGTCCAATCAATATACCTCGTAACCGCAGGCGTGGCGATCGTGACGTCAATCCATCTCTGCCCCATGCCTCCAGAGAAGGTAGGGGTGGCAGAGAGTTCGTTCATCACTACAAGGTGATTTGTGGCTATGAAATCTCCCATTTTAGGCCTCCTCAGTGATATTCTCGCCTGTCAGTGATATTGGACCCCCAGACCGTGTTCCCGGAGTTGGTATGTGAGCACATGATCACATTTCTCATCTTCTTAATTGCCATATTGCTCATTTATACAAATACTTGAACTCTCATTTATATTTATCTTTAAATTCATATGTTTACTTCAAGATCATATATCTACCATAGTTTCTTTTCTTTATTTTAATATCGGGGTTAGACAACTTTGTAAATTAATTTATTTTTAAGTGTAATCTAATGCCTGACAATTGTCATTTTGTTGTTCATTATAGTTATTCTGAGGGGACTACATGCCCCAGAGTAAAATTTGCTTTCTTTCTTTCTTTAATAAACAATAAAGATAAAAGGAAAATTGATTATGACTTTATTAATTGGGTTTGTTAAAAATAAGAGAGCTAAAATATTAAACTGCGGAAACAAAATAGTATATTTAAATTTAAATAACATGAAATTCTTTATCAAAATTGAAAATTTATAACTTTATACACATAAACATAAATTGTTTAAAATTAACCCCTTTATAAATTATACCATTCAACAAACAATTACTGCCTATTATAAAACCTAAACAATTTAAATGATTATAAAATAAATAACTTACTAATCGTATGTTTCAACAATTTATGCTTCATAATTAGATAAAAATTTGATAATTTAAACAAAAAATTAGAATCTAATAATAAACATGAAATTTTTAAACAAGATTGTGATAACCTAGAAACCCAAATTATTGCAAATATAACTGAAGTTGGACAAACTACTCTGGCTGACAAAACTTCCTTAGGTCATTCAGAAAGTGATGAGAAGCAAACTGTTTTAAATTAGTTTAAAATTAAGGTATGGTCTTCTATTTAATTTTAGTTCTATGTTACTGTAGTGTATTTTGTATGTATCGATATGTGAATAATTCTTTAAGAAAAGGATAAAAAGTTAGGAAATAAAAAATCTGGTGCTCGCAACACACAACTTTCACTTACTCTTTGAACATTGAATAAAAATTATTTTCTGGCCATGTTAGGCTATTATAAAATGTTTTAAATTGCATTATAAACTGAACTAAAGCTAAAAAAACACAAATACTATTAAAATAACAAAAGTCCTATTTATTATATCACCGGTTGATTATGGATTGTACGACTATAAGTCATTAAACTGTTATTTTTCATTGCAAAGTTTATTAAAACGGAATTAAGAGATTTGTAGTGTTTGTCATAGACAGGTCAAAAGTTGTCACACTAATTGTAAGTGGATTCTGTTGGAATATCGCAAAAAGAAAAATTATCAAGCTATTCACTAATTTAATTTTCTAAAAGGTTACATGATGATTTTTCGGAATAAACGGACGATAGATATCTACATATTTAAATATATTATGAGATCTAGAGTTATTAAACTACAGTAAATATATTTAGGGTTATAAACGTATCTATGAAATATTTTTGTATTTCACTTCTTTTTTCACACAAGTACAATGAAATGGTAGTGGAATATCACAAAGGGATATTCGAATTATCGAATTATTCACTAATTTAGTTTTCTAAAAAGTTATATGACAATATTTTGGAATTAACTTTAATACCTAATTATTTAGAGAGAAATACTTTATTAAAAGTAATGCTGCCCTACTACATAGGGTTGCTTCGTACACAGCATTATCAATCCATACGGACATTAATTTTAGATTATATTTTTCTTTTTTTTTTTCTCCCCCTTCATAACAATACTCTTACAAATTATAAACAATAAACCATATTAAACAATAGACATAGCATAATAAACACTTTCCCAAAATAAAAATAAATTCCTTTTTTCTCTTAAAATTCTCAAACGCTAGGAACGCAATATAACATTGCACACATATATAACACAGCGATTCCTTGAATGTAGCCAAAAAGATAAGACGATTGAGGGCCAATTTAAAATTGAATAAATAATTACTAAACTACAGTAAATGTATTTAATATTATAAACACATGATTTATACATCCATGAAATGATTTTATATTTTATTTCTTCTTTCACACAAGTACACTGAAATAGTTTTTTTAACAATGCCATTAACTTGTTTAGGTGAATTTTAAATACTTTCTAAAGATGTAAAAATATTTTTTAAAGTTTACATTTTGTCAGTAAATTCCATTTAATTTCCTTGATGTTAATGCTTAAAAGCATGTGATTTACGTTAAATATTATCAGTTTTCAAAAATTGTTACTTATAAGTTTTTCGCCGCTCTCCGATACCTTCTACAACTTCCTATATTAGATATTGTTTTTCTAAAATTCTCCGCTTTCCAACGATATATTATAAGTATTCTTCTGATTTGTATTTCCAGAGATTTATTTTCAAACTGTATAAGCATTTATATTTTTTTTTTCCTTTATTCAATTATCAGATTCTTTCAAAAGTTATATTAAGCATTTTTTCGCTAAATATTTTTTGCTAATTATTTAACAATGGTATATTATTTGCAAACAATTATACATCTAAAGTAACATTACCTTCCAAGTTACAAAGAAAAATAAATAAAAGGTGATTCCAATTAATGGACTAAACTTTTCTTTATAATCATTAGTAATATGCTAAAAAAATTAGCATTACCTTATTGACACATTCAAAATTCAAAAACCGAAACAAAGGATATAACCATTGCAGCAGAACATATAAAAAAAAAAAAACTAGAGACCATATCTTATCTCCTAATTGTCCGATTTTAACAATTTTTTTTTTGTTTTTTTTAGGCTATTCCATAAACTTTGAGAAAACCATATACAACATTCCCAAAAAAGTGTATACTTTTTGAGTTATTCGGAATTTAATTTTACCATCCCTCGTAACTTTTTTTCCAGCTTCTTTTCGCTGATGAATGTTATATAGATAAATTTGAAGGGTGTCGAGAAAATGACTTAAGCGAAGTTTCAATGAAATCGGTACATTCGTTTAGGCGCTACAGTCTATAGCTACGTTTTTCTGCATTTTTATTTTTTTTCTCCTTTATTAACTTATCAAATTCTTTCAAAAGTTATGTTTATCATTTTTTTGTGACTCTGAATAATGCGAAATAATTAACTTTTTAAAATAAACCATATTAAAGGTACTTTAGAGGAAGACGTATATGAACATTGGGCATTTAAGCCCTGTAAAGTTACATCAATGGGGATAAGACCTAATTGATATTAAAGACCACTTAATTATACAATGATACACCGAGTTTAATCAAAATCGTTAGAGCCGTTTTTGAGAAAACTGTGAAAATGTGTTTCAGCGTTGATATAAAGTGGCACTTCCGGTTAGCCGATTTTAAGGAAAAAGTTGCCGTCACAAATAAGGCATATACCTATTTTAAATACGTGATATCAGTTTCATAGGACTTTTCGTTAGACTGCTAACATACAAACCCACAGACCATTTTTCGGGACTTGGTCATTTCGACCAGGGTACCTCAAAATGTATAAATCCGTCGAAAACTCAGATTCAAAAATTTTCTCGATCGCAATACTTACACTTACTATATATTACATATATACGTAAGTGAAAGTAAAAATAGTTAAGATGTAACTCAGAGGCAATCTTTAAAAAAAAAAATGTTCTGCATTGAATGAGTAATGTGGAAATGTTTCAGTATTCACCTAAATTTAATTGAAAAAGAAAAACAAATTTAATTAAAATATTTTTATTTACCCCAAAGTGGGAAGAAATACAATATACTTCTTTATTCAAAGTTGGTAAAAATGGTTTAGTAAATCAATGTTGCATAATTAAAAGGCATTCTAATCTAGTTTTGCTAATGTCAGGGGATGTTTAAATTTGAAAAATAGTTTCACTAGTTCAGAGAAAAGAAAATGGCTGCTCTATAGTTTACCCAAAAAGGAAACCCCAAAGGGGGAACAAAGGATTTTTGTTTTGGGCAAGCAGTTGTTGTTTGACTGGGGACACTTGTTTGGAGTCTCAAGATAGAGGATCTTCCAGGGAGCTTGAGTCGAGTAGATAAAAGTGTCAACATTTTGGAAGGTATATTTGGCAGAACTTTGGAAAGTGTTTGAAGACAAATTAATTCAGTGCGACAAAGGAAGAAACAATGTATATAGAAAAAAGGTTAGCTTGCTAATTCATACTTGACTTTATTCTAAAATCAAACAGAGTTTAGTGTAAATAATTTTAATCAGTGTGAGTCTTGATCTGATTGTCAGTAACCCATACCAGAGATAAAATAATTATAAAGATTAGTTTAATACATCAATATTCTTATAATTTTGTTTTTTATTTAACAACCTCTTATTTATTTTGAAAGTATCGCTACAGTATTGAAGTGATATTCCAGGAGTTAAATTATTAATTAAAAATATAAGAGATATTGCTATATATATATGTGTGTGTGTTACAATGTATTAGTTTTTTTTTTTTTTGCATATGGGTTATGTATATATTTGAAAATATGTTAGCAAAGCAACTGAATATATTATTATTTTATTTTCCTTCTTGAAATATTGGGGGAGTAGAGAAGAGCACTTGACCCTCCCTTCTCTCCCCGAACTCTGCGCCTATGGAGTAACAGTTCGAAAAACATAAATGTTTAAGCACAGATTTATATAGAAAAACTTAAATGATTATAGTTGTTGAAAAAACAAATTATTGGAAATTCTATTTATAAATTAAAACCTGGCCATCAGGAATGTCATTAACTCTTTTTGCCTTAATTTTATCTTAGGGGAAGAGTAGGGTATGATGTCCTTCTAGATAATGCATATTACATTCGCTGTCTGAGTTGGAGTTTAGAAGGGTTTTAAACTCAATGAACAGCATCGAATGCCAACAAGTGGAAATAAAGTCAAATCAAATTAATAAAAAACACAGATCTGTTGATGAATTATTTATTGCAACCTTAAGATTACCTCACATTTCATGGTAAATTTTTAGACTGCGCTTTGTAAAGAATATTTCATAGTTCACACCAAACTTTAAAAGATCATATTTATTTTATTTTATAATGTTAATATAACAACCTAAAGACTTGGGAATAACTAAAACAAAAATATTTTGTGCTTTAAAAAACTAACATAAAAATAAAATTTTAAAAAATGCCTTTGGCAAAAATATATCATGTTTAAATAAGGAAGACAGGCAGTTTTCTGTTCATAATACAATGATTTATACAAAAAAATATCTTCCTATAAATACAAACAAATTAACAATCACACTTTTTTGAGCATTATATTAAAAATCTTATATACAATATATAATAATAAAAAACAAGAAAGCAATATATTTATTATAATATAAAACTAAGAACAGCAAAAATATTACATTTTTATATTTTATAATTTTTTTTTATTTTTTAAGGTATACTGGAAAAAATAATAAGAAGGAAGGAATGTTAAGTTTAGCTATTTAAACCACAATTAATGGCAATTTTAAAAGGGAATATAGAGTAAGAAACTATTAAAAATGAATTATTGTAAAAAATAAATACATCTAACATAAATGTGTACAACCAAACATTTCTACCAAAACAATCATAAATCCACAAAATTATTTCAGTTACAATTTCAATCAAAGAAAATGTAATAAAATTTAATGCAGTTACACTTCAGATGTGCTATTTGCTTATCAGCAAGCAACACAGATTTTTTATAAAGAGCAAGCCATGCGATGTGGTAGCTATGCTTTCTCTTCAGCTGAATTTTTGTCGCTTTCTTCATCGCTATAGTCTTCATCATGATTGTGAGTTAATGAGCGAGGAGTGACCGGCCTCATGTGAGGTACCTGATTACTAACTCGGTCCTGCTCCTGCTGGAAAAAAATAAGCACCTGTAAAAAATTGATCAGAGACTTTTGAATTAGAAATATGCAACCAAAAGTTATCAACACAATAAATGTTGTAATATTTTTTTTTACATTTATTGAAACTAAACTATCAGTTATTTATTAATCATATCAATAAGTAGATAAAAAGTTTATCATATGGTTGGAAATAAAAGTGATTAACTGACATTTTTGTGATGATGCGATTTTCAGATTTACATATGTATAAACTAAATCTACAGTTCAATATCGACAAAACTGTGTATATTATAAATCACTAATTAATAATGATTGATAATTTCACAATTGAAAAAAATGTCAGTACAACATTTTTACCTATTGATTTGTCAGGGAAATTATCAAATTATTAATTATCACACCAACTTACAATATTAAATTCACAAGAGTAAATTTGGTGCAGTAAGTGGATAATGAGGCAATCACTTTATTAAGATATTTTTAATGGAAAAAAGCAATGGTATACTTTTGATCAAAAAATAGTACAGCAATAGTATTAATAAAAAATAGAAGATATAAACTCTTTGGGAGGAATATGTTTCTTTTCACTAGATAGCCAGTATGATCTAATTGTCAATAAAATTATCAAGCACATATTATATGTAATTAATAACTCTGGCCATAACTAGTTAGCAAAAAAAATATCTAAGGTCTATGGCCATATCTAGTAAACAGGAAAATATCTAATGTCTCTGGCCATAACTAGTTAAGTGGAAAAATTGTCCTCACAAGTTCTGTGAATTGATATCTTCCAAGCCTTCTAAATACCGTGAAGAAATTTGTAAATTCACAGATCTCGTCAAGACCTCTAAAATTTTTAGTGCTGTTAGTTACGAGCTTATTCACAGTGTTTAAAATACTTGAAATATCTCAATCCACAGAAGTTGTGAGGACAATTTTTCGACTTAACTAGTTATGGTCAGAGACCGTATATATATACAATTTATTTATTTCAGTAAGTATTGAGATATCTTAAAGTGATTTACTATGTATAAGTCCTTGTGTCTCTGTCATTAAAGCCTCAATTGTAATCCTTATTGTACTCCGTGGAAATAGTGCATATATCCTTGTTTCCTTTGACTAATCCTTTATTCAATTATTTAAATCATCTTTTCGTTGCTTTTCAATTAACAAATTTCATAAAAATTGTTACAAGAAGAGATTGTCATTTGTGGACTTCTGCAATAAATGGACTGAGTGCGAGTAACTGCATAAATTTTTGTTGGAAGATAAAAAAATTGGTGCAGCCTAAAATGGAAGTGATTTAGTTCTATTTTGGGAATAATAGCCTAAATCAGGTCACTGTACAGAGTTAAATGATACAAAATTACTGGAGTCTGTTTGCCGAGATTGATTAGGATAAAAAAGGTTATGTTTTGTGTTTGGTAGAATTACGATGGTGTTTTGTGCTTTCAGCTGGTTCCAGACCTGCTGACACAGAATCTTGACTGCAAAACAGTTTGAAAGAGTATAAGAAGTTTTTAAATTAAATACCCTGCTTTGGACAATAATTCAGCCCACCACTTAAGCTTAGAAGAAAAATTCTCAGAAATGTATTGTGTAAGCATTTTGCCTAGTCCTCTTTACAACCCTAATAATAATATAGTAGGGTCTCTTCTGGGCAAATGGTAATTCTAAAAAAACTAGGATGCAAGGATTTTTCGCCTTGGAAACTTAAGAATGGTATCATCACCAAACTCAACTTCTGGCAGAAATAAAGGAGCAATAGACAATAATTGCTCATATTTTGAAAAATTATTTCAATGATTAGATTGATCAAAATACATTACTATAATATATCCAAATCTTCAAAATACAAAATATTTCAAAGAAAATAATCAAGAGTAATATAGCTCCACTGTTATTATTATTATATTTTTAATGATGACAAATAAATGAACAAAAAAAGTATTTAATATTTTTTATCTAGTTTATTTTAACTAATATTCCTCAATTGTTTCTATTAATATTGCAAAGGTAGACTGACATTTTTCCTCCACATATTTTGATAGTTCTTAATCTCCTGAAAACAAGAGAAAGAAAAGAGTTTTCAAAATTTAATTGTTGTTTTCGGAAGTAATGACCAACTTAATTGTAATAAAAAAAAAAATTAACATTATTTTTACTCCTAAATGAACTGTCTTCTATAGAAGCTGTTTAAATGATAAGTTTAAGATGAATAATTTTCTATAATTATATTCTCTTTTTTTTTTGTTACCTATATCTCTCAGTAGCTGTTTTAATTTTTTTTATTTTCAAGATTGTTCTGTGTAAGTGTATAATGCTACAATAAAGTCAGTTCTGAAAAACAGAGGGACACTAACCATCACTCTAGAAAGAAGGACTAAAAGATAATAATAACAAATAAAAGTAGTGTTATGTCATCAGAAAACTAATGCATGGAGAAGATCCAATAAAGAACTGCTTACTTAAACTGGTCAATCAATATCTCATAATATGAAGACAAGAAGGTTAAGGTGGACAGAACATGTAACTCAGATAAGAAAGTCTGTAGATCCATAAGAAAGTCTCTATATAACAACGAATGCCTCAATAGTAAGCTAGAAATCATGGGGAAGGCCAAAAACCAGATGGACTGATTGAATAAACAAATATACAATAGAGCTGAATACAGATAAATGGAAAGAAATATTCCAAGATAGGCACAATGCCAATATATATATATATATATATATATATATATATATATATATATAATACAAATATAATTAACACACAAATAATTATAAAACCACACATTAGATCCAAATAATCCTACTATATTTTTACTTTACATACAATGTTTGAGGCCCTTTGCTATTTTAAAGGGAACAAATCTTATTTTAATATAAAAATAAAATCATGGTCTAATTTTTTATTGTTACAATACTTATTTGTCTATTGCTAAAACCTTCACTCACAATCACATCACTCAACGAATGGATTATTGTGGAGATACGAATAAGTATTGTGACAAGAGCAATTTAGCCCATATGATTTTATTTATATAATAAAATAAAGTTTCATCACTTGAAAATGGCCTATCGGCTGAAACGTTGAATCTAAAGTAAATATAAAGTAGGATTAAATGAATCGAATGTGTAGTTTTATTATTAAAAAAAATTGAAGACCTAATCAACAATATTGAAATATATATATATATATATATATATATATTAATAATTTATATACAAAAGTTTGAATAAATAAATTAGTATAATATTAAATAAATATTCAGAAGTTTGAATAAATTAATATTCATAATATATAATGTCGAAAATGGCCTTTTATTTAAAATCATCTTTATAAACATGAAAAAAAAGTTAGTATAATCAACTGAGAAGCTTATTTAGTTTCCTTGGTTGTTAAGAATCATAAATTTTGTAACAATTATGTATTTGTTTTACACTCTTTTAGGTACAATTGATTTTGAAAGGATAAACTTAAGAGTGACCAACACCTTTTTTCTAAATGGTTAAAACTTTATCAGTGCCCAACGTTTATATTTCAGCATTTATCAAGATAGCCATTGTGGTGAAAGAGTTTGTATCCAAGTGTGGGGCTACGGTATTCCAGTATTAATAAGAAAGAAAACGTCAAACCAACTGAATATGCCTTAACGAGTATAAAATTGGGTTAGTATAAGTCTATAGATAGGCCTTATTACTTAATTGTTAAACTGAAGGGATAATTACAGGTGGAGTAAGGCAATTACTCAATAAGTAAATTGTTGCTTCAACATAGTCATTATAAAGTACGCAGTTTAACCATGGATGTTCTATAGATTTTCTTGATAACAATATATTGTTTATATAAATAAAAATAATTAGCTTATAGTTATAAATTATTTGGGATTAGAAGAATAGACATATAATCAAAGAGTTCTTGCACATATACTAGAATTAGATTTAAATGCATCAGTAAATATAATTATGTACAATAAATATCTAAAGCGAATCTACATTAGAAAGTTAGTATTTACGATTCAAAATGAAATCTAACTCATGCTTATTTACACCTTCATAAAATTATAGGTCATTTAGAATAAAAATAATTTTGTTGGTGTTATATTTTATTTGTATCATAAAAGTTAATCATAACTTTTGAAAAACATTGTAAATTTGGAGAAAAAAAATTCCATTTTGTTTGCAGGAGACTATACATACATAATCGAAATACTTGCAAAAAAACTATCGAGTACTGTTTTATTTTTGAGTATAATCTTATAACCAGTCCTTCAAATGAGGATCATAAAACAGCGTTGTTCTTAATGTTATATGAGATACTTTTGGATTTTAAATATTTTTTATTTATTACAATATTTATTTATTTTTCGTAAATAGCAATAAATAATTTATTAATAATAACATAACTATGTTATATTTTAAAAAGTTGTAAGTAAAAGACTTTTAAGTGAGGCTTAACAAAGTGGATTTCATTTCCCTGAATATAAAAAAAAATTTTTTTGGAGCTCCTCACCCTGGAGTAAGTCATGTACAGCTAATCAGGTGAGAAGCATTATTGCATCATTGATTTAATAAAGATACATACAGATAAAGGCAAATAACTTGATTCTAAACCAAAAACAGTCTTAAATAAAAAAGTCAAAAACTGAAGTTTGTTGTAGCTAGTCTCTTTCACATATTCTATATTCATCCAATAACTAACTGCAGCAAGTGTATAAAGTGTCAATTAATATGATGTTTAGTAACTAAAATTAAGTATTCTGTCATTTTGTCTAAATATTGCAACTAATAGTTTAATAGTTATAAAAACCTTTTTACTGCTAGTATAATACTGGGATAAAGTTTAGTATAAATCAAATCACCTGTTTATCCATGAGAAACAAACAGAAAAGTATAACAGACAAATGGAGAATTATAAGTATTATTTTGTTCATATGATATGCATAAAAAAGACTTATTAATTTGTTGTACAAGCAAGTAATGTAATGTGGTTAATATCACCTAGGTATTCGCTAACAATAACTTTACACCCTACCAGATAAGAAATTATTAACAAACCTATAAATCCTTACAATAAAATCAACTGATTTAAACAAAATGACACAGGATAAAGGGACAAAGTATTAAAGGAAAAATCAAAGAGACTACAAATTATAATACATAAAAAATAATTATTCATATGTGACACAATAGTATTTAAACAAGTAGTGCAGCAGCCTATAGGCATTACAAGCCATTAATTGAATCTCAAAATCTTTAAATATCTAAGATCTCCATCAGTACTCTGATGATATTAACTTGTATCAGCAAGCCTCATCAGGCTTTCAATTATTTTCTTCTTTGCATTTTTTTATTACTTTTCATGCAATATCTAAACATAATCCATAATGTTACACATACATTTCAAAAAAGCCTACTCAAGATGTCTAATTAATACAAATATACATAGCCAATTAATAATGTGATGCCATATAATAACTGATTAAAATTATTTGTAACAACTAAACTTCTTATAAACATTATCATTCATAGATATTACCTTTTTAGCTTCTTTTTCCTTAATAGCCTTTTCATCTTCCAAAATATTGTAAGTCCTTGATCTGGATATCATCGGACTTTCCATGACGAACCTCTGTTCATGAGCAACTGTAGATTCGTGTGGCATCTATGACAAAATTGATCATCAGTATTCAGTCAGAAATATTTAATTAACCAACTTTATAATGAAAGAAAAAAATCTTTTTTAATCCAAAAATACCAAGTCAAAGGAGATCTTAATTATTTTTTTCTGACTTGAAATTATATCAAATCATTAGGGAAATGACGATTTTATTTGTAACTCTTGTTCATGACAAAGAGTTTCAAAATGATGGATCTGGAAGAAACCTGAAAAAATAAAGTTTCCAACAAAAGAAACACTAAACCAAAAAATCGGCAAATAATGCTAATGAAAAAATATTAATTATTTCCTTCACAATGACCTAATGTCTTAGTTGGATGCACTTTTATTTACAAAATTTTTAGTTAATTTTTATTTATGTGGAAGTTGCTATTCTGTTGTACGAAATTGGTAACATTTTGATTTTTGAACACTATTTTTAATTCATCATTTTCTATAAAACATATTGTTCTGCATGTCAAATAAATGTTAACAAATAAGTTTGTACTTTTTATATATGAAGATGAACAGTTAATAACTAATATCATAACATCTAATATTACAACATCTGGTATATTCAGTGATATAAATTATGGGAACCTCTGCTCTAGACAGACATTGAACAGCTAAAGTTAATCATGATCTTGTTGGTTAAGAATAAATTTCTTTATAAAATACACAATATTTAAAAAATCAAAATCAAGGAAAAAACAAAACAAAAAGAAGTTACTAAATAAAATTATTAAGAGTGTTCAGAAAAAAAAAAATAAATAACATACAAGTAAAGTATTAATTAAGTTCTATATTAATATTATATAGCCTTTCAAATAATAATTATTTTTATAACATAAAAGTAAAATATTAATTAAGTTCTATATTAATATATTATAGCCCTTCAAATAATAATTATTTTTTAAACGTAAAAGTAAAGTATTAATTAAGTTCTATATTAATATCATATAGCACTTTAAATAATAATTATTTTCTTGAGTAACAAGAATCACTCACAAGCATAGCAGGAGCTCGGAACATGTAACTGAACGGATAGTAGATAAGATTTAGAAATGTGGCAGCATACAAATCAGCATAACGAACGACCTGGGAAGAGAAAAAAGTCTGCCTGGAACCAGATCGGAAGAGTGAACCCATCATACCGTAAGCGAGGTCCATTTTGTGGGTAACTTCCCTGATACTAGTTCTCAGGTTAGAAATATCTGGTTTCTCTTTTGTACTGGAGTCAAGGTTTCTGAAAGATAATACCATAAAAATAAATCAATAAATACAATTTTATTTAATAAAACTTAAGTTAACATTAAAAAAGTAGCACTCACTATATATAATAAGAATACAGCTTCTTCAACCAAATGATATATATCTGCTAAAGATGAAAAACTAACAGATCAGGATCAATAAAAGATGGTTTGATGACAAAATATGATACTTTTAGTTGAAATGAAACAAGGATTGTCAATAAATATTAATATTTAACACAAGGTAATGTGTGATTTGTATTTCAACAAATTTAAAGATTTTTCCAGTGATTCAGATCCTATATAGAATTATTGCACAAGCTCCTCGGTATGTTTTTAAAATACTTTACATAGTGACTTACGCATGCTGACTGTCAGCTAATTCATAGAGACACAATAAGAATGATTTCAAGAAAAATAATTACATAGACATGACAATCCATTATTAATAACATGACTACTACTAGGCCTGTCATCATGAGGAGACTGAAAGGATCATTAATGAAATATTGCTGGGTATTTATTTTCCTCATGTCTGGCATGTCATTATTTTGTAATTGATTTTGACAAGCACTCCGAAAATTGTTAATGTTAATTAAGTTACAGTTTTTTTTTTTTCTTTTTTAAACAGGGTTCATTGAAAAGGAGGATGAACTTGCCTAATATTTTGTTCAAAAATGAAACTTTATTTAGATGAACATCATGATTGGAGAAAAATAAAGGCAATTTTAAAATTAGATTATAATTATGAGTGTAGAGGAAAGGATAAAAGAGGATGAGATGACGTCATGAAACTATTCCAAGTTGGAAAATGCTCACACAAAAAAACAATACAAGACTTTTCAGTCAAAAGAAGGTCTTTTGAATTTTTTTCAATCCCGTGATTGACTTTTTTTTAATATTTATCTTTTATTCTTCACATTTTTCATAAAAGGACATTTCTGTCAAAAGAAAAAAATGTTTAATCTCAATGGTATCTGGTTATGGGAAATTCCACTGTATTTTTAGAGTTATAAAAGTGAGACTAAGAGAAAAAGTGAAACACCTTACTGTTAACATGTGTAAACATTGTTTTAAAAATGTTGAAACATTTTTGAGTAAAAGTGCCACTAAATTAATTGAAATAAATAATGGATCCATACAAAGAAAGAGCACCTGAAATGTGGTGAAACAATGCAAATAGGAAAAGAAATATTGAACCGACTTGTCCGATGAAGTAAAACAAAGAGGAAAGAATACATAATTATTATTATATAAAAATGTTTTTATGTATTGGCAAGTTCATAACAATTCATAATGAGTTATTTCAGAATTAATAATCAAAAAATGTTTAAAAATATACCAGTTAATAAAAAAAGCTTAACATAAATTTTGTTGGTCTTCAATAAAAAAATATAATCAAAACAAAAATGAAAATCATGAGTATAGCCAGGTACTTACTTGTATGTTTCACCTAACATAACATCGAGTGCTTGCAATTCAGTGAATAGCTGACATTTATCAGTCCAAACGTGGAGTTCTTGGACCAATTCGGGTACGATAAGGAATGTCCTCCAACCTCGAATTTTCTTTGATTTAAGAATATCACCAAAAATGTGATCACCTACGTAAAGAACATCCTTGCCTTTTGCACCTATCAGTTTAGTAAAGACATCACAAGATCCTGAAATACAAATGTATCATAAAAATCAAAAATCTAAAACTACCAAAGATTATTACAATAACAAATACTTTAGAGAGAAATATTTCATTTGAAAGCTGTGTTGAACAACTATAAGGTTGCTAAATACACAGCATTCTGATCAATCCATATCATCTAACTACTTTTTTTTCTCTTTTCATATCTAACTAAATCATCATACTATTGCATTGTTATGATTAAATCATCTTTTTCTTTTTCCTTTGATCATTTTATTAACTTTCTTAAAATTCTAAGTTTCTCTTTACCAGTGAACTTGATGTAGAACATTTGTATGAACCCAAGAATTAAAAATACTTTTGATGGATTTTAATGCTAAAGTAGGTTTTTTGTAAATTTCAATCTTATTTGATTACGTGAAAACAAAGTAAGCGCTTCAAAATAAAACAATTTTTTTTTAATCATACAAAAATAAAACAAATGTTACTTAATCAATTTTTGCAATAAACTGGCAATATATAATTCTTTTCCCTTTCCACTCCACCAGCTGTATGGAGGCGTTTCTCTTGAATTGGAATTGTAAGTTGGGTCCAAGATCATTGCTACCCTTCTGGTCCAGAGGGAATACTACAATAACAGCTTATCACCCAGATCGGTACTTATCTAATAGCGGGTAGCGTCCGACTGCTATCTGCCAATGTTTATAACCTAAGCACTGATAAGCTCTTCGTATTCATATTTATTGTATTATATTGATATTTTTATATGTTCATATTCATATATATTGTATTGTATTGATATTATTTAAATTATGAACAAAAACAGAAACAAATGTAATAATAACAAATTGCTTTTATTTTACAATGTATATATTAAAATAGACCAAAACATTATAAATATATAATTAAAAAACATTACGAAAACATTGCAACATATATATAAAAATAAATAAAATAATAAAAATAGGCAAAAAAAGATGAAATAATAAAAAACTACTTAAACAGCATATGTACATATAAAACAAACATTATGAAGAAACTATAGAAACAAAATATGAAAAATTTTATTTTGGTAGGGAAAATAATTTTATGGTATTTAAAATAGGGAGGAGAAGGGATCCTGATCTCTATGCACCCGCCGCCACAAAAACTCACATAAACATGAATCCAGGTGGGTGTTGTCTGGCAGTTCCTCTGTGTTTTTTATTTTTCCACTTAGCTGAGCCCCATAATCGTTCAATGTGTTAAGTATGGACTCAAATTGATGGATCAACAAAATTATACCTGTGATTTACCTGAAAATGATTGTAGTTTGCTTCATTGAGTTGTTTGGTGTTGTATCCTTACCAACAGTTGGAATAAATGGTGCTTCCCTCTTCTACATTGTTTTTAATGGCTTCTAATAAAGTTGTTGCTTTTCTATTGTTTATTTTAACGATAAAACACTCGTTTGTTTCTTGGCAAACTCCGCCAAACATCCATTGCTCAGGAAGGACTCTCCCCACATGAGAGACTCGTCTACTTCGACGACTTTGCCAGGCCCTCCAATTTTTTTATTCAACCTGTACAACATGTCATGGGCACAAACTTCTCTTAAAAATTTGTTCCATGCTACAACAGTTCCGATGGATAGTTTGAGCTGCTCTTTTCCACTGTATTGTAGTTAAATTATGGGACCACCCATAAATAAATTTTAAAGCCGTTAAAAAAGAAATCCTTGATCCCTCTAACCACGTTCCTTTCCTTATAGAAACGGTTTTGTTACACCTACGGAAGCATCTCCATTTAATCTTCCCGCTGAACTTCATTTTATGACCCTCATCACAATATTTCACCTTATCAAATATACCGGCGTCTTGAAAATATTTGATAGCCTCTTCTTCTGAAGACGGCAATTCCCACAATGTGACAAGATCCATAATTAAATAAACTCACACCTGGCACAAGAAACAAAAACTAAACAACAGAATAACTTAGGTTAGATGAGATAAGGGAGGTTATCTGAAATGAGATTAGATAAGAAGGGAGGTTTTGACGCTACCCGCTACTAGATAAGTACCCCCAGATTATTTTGCATCACTATAATAAAACCTTGTCAAAAAAGGTGAATTCCTTCTCTTTGCACATTGTATGATTTCTGCGGTATAAACAAATTTTGACTGGAACAGGGCATCTGGTAAAAAAGATTTTTGGTGGGAAATGGGTCAACACTGCAAAGGAGTCTTCCTATGATATCAGTCCAAATCCTAGAAACCATTTTAGTATATACAGATTGATTGTAGAGTTGTTAGGGTAGAATTCGATAAAGGATTTGATACTCCCTAGGACTTGATAAGTCCCACAAATAAATTGTATTATTGATTAACCACCTAGCTTTTTTGCTTCATCAGGCAAGATTTTAATAACAAAAAGATTTGTATTTAGTTTAGTCATCGCGTTAACATTAAATACCAGCCCAGCTCTCCCAAGAATGTAAATGCTAAATATCTGATTATATCATATATATATCATCAACCAGTAATGTTTCGATAATTCTCCATTTGCAAAAGAGAGAATCATTGGCTGCAGCTTTCCTTCACTGATTATGAGACACATACTGTCCTGCAGTTATATAGACCAATCTTCATAGATCTTTTGTTTTGAACACAATTTATGATTTTCTTTCTGATACCCCTGTCGCCTGCTGAGACAGCCTTCTTATCACTATGATATTAATAAAAAAAAAAATCTGTACCACTACAACCCATGAAGGGTCTGTGGTTCAGTACTATTTAGGGAAAGCACTGTTTCTAGGTCAACGGTTGTGCAAGAAGGTGATTTGACCGAGATCACGCTCAACCGCCAGGTTTTCCCCCTTAATTAATTATTTAATTAAGAGTACCCACTTTGTAGAGGCTGGGTGTGCCCCAGGAGGGACTTCTGACCCAAGGTTGCCCTACGGCCAATGAAACAGATAAATAAAATTTCTGCCATGAGCCGGGGTTCGAACTCGGGACCTTTGCATTGGAAGCTCAGTGCCCTACCACTGAGCTACCCCACTCCCTTATGATATTAATAAGTTAAGATATATATGAAAATTATTATATCAACAGCATAATGTATATAACTTGCCTCCTGAGTAGACTTGTTCTTTTTGAAGAGGTCCTGTATGCGAACCAATACGAAGAGCCCCTGTTGTTGTGTTCACTTGTCTCATTAAGGTTCCTTCACCGAAGAACAGAGGCTTGCTAGCATCAACAACAATTACATCAAAATATGTTTTCCAGTTTCTGTGAGGTTCGTCGGGCTATAAAAGTGAACAAAAATAGGTAAACCTTGAGTAAAATTACATATAATAAATTATAACAGTCTAAAATTGGATTTAAAAAAGCAGGAGATATTTTTAAAAATCATAACAAGTACCCTGGCACCATGTGGGAAATCGAAGAGGTAGGTCATGATTTTATCAGTGAAGCAGTAGTCTGAATTAGTGAGAAGGAATACTTTAGCACCACTGTCCCTTATCCTAGTCAGGAACATTGGTAACCTCTCATCTTTTTTTACATATAGGTCCAGATTTTTGGTTGTCTGTGATTTCAGGTCTCCCTAGAAAAAAAAAATAGTAATGAAATTCATAGTTATTATTTCAATAGTTATTATTATAAAATAGTAATAATAATTCATAGTTATTATTTCAAAGAATATTTTTCATAAAGACATTAAAATTATTTAAATAATTATAAATAGGACAAAAGATATTTTAAATATAATAAAAAAATTATAAATAATAAAAAAAACTTACTTTTATATGAACCCAATCTACAGCATTTCTTACATCTTGGAAGATTGATTTGAATGACATAAAAAGATCACCACATGTGACGCCAGTTTTATCTCTGATCAAAAAAGAAAAAAAAATTAATTTCAATAAATTTAAATAGTAATTCAATTCTTCATACATGCCATTAACCTTTTTATAAATATTTTTAAATATGAGTCTCAACAGTGGCCAAGTCAAGAAGTTACAATATTTAATATTATTTCCAATCATTAAAAGTAACAATATTTAAAAAAAAAGTGGGTACTTGCACGAATCTTCAATTTTTATTCCTCATTGAAGATGAGGTTAAAACAATAAAAATGCAAAAAGTGTCAGCCAAATTTATATTGCAAAAATAATTATTCCTAAAGAAAAGTAGTGGGGATGGACCTATGTTAGACAGTGGGATCATGAAAAATCCCAGCCTAAAAGGCGAAGAAAAGGATAAAAAAAAAAACTGCCTTCCAAAAAATTCCTTTCTGTTTTTTACCTCACCGTTGTCTCAGAATTAATATATTTAGATTGAAATGTATTATATTAGCTTTTCTAAATGCATGTTAATAAATTAAAGCTGAGTTGATATTAAGACAGTAATGTGTTTGACACTTCAATGGACATAAGCCACATCCCTAGACATCACCACACCTTCAAGACTCACTGTTATTTTAAATTTTTACCTAATTTTAAGGTTTTATTATTATTTAAAAAGTGCGATCTCAATCTAATATATGCTCTTTATCACTGAAATTCTATTGAAGTTGAAATTTATGCGATCTTTTTTTCAATGCAACTACCCAATTGTTAACTTTACTAGCTATACAACAAGCAGCAGTGGGAGAAATGCTCATAATAGGCTGGATCTTCATCTATTAAGGGTTGAAATATTTTTTTCAAAGAAAAATGTAAAAAGATCAGCTTTCGGCTTTTCAAAGAAATCTGAAACTTTTCATTCAGAACAAAGGGGTCATCAAAATTGTTTGAATAATGAAAACACAAAAGAAAATATTTTTTAATCTTATTTAAAACTTATTTACTTAGTTCACATAAGAAGAAGTATTAGTATAATGATTTTTGCTATCACGAAATAAGATAACTTTCATTAAAAAATTAACAACACTTAAGATTTCTGAAATTAAAGTAGATCATTTGGAAGGAAGAAGATTTAATGAAATAGAGAATTGAATCTGGTGTGTTATTAGAATTTCAGTATTAATTAGAAATTTTAAACAATTAGATGGATGGTGAAATTTTTTTTGTTATATGATTAAAAAAATAAAAACTCTCACCTTGTGTACTGTGTTGAATTAGTGAAGAAATCAACTAAGCAGGCTAGCAGGTGGGTTTCAGGCAAATTAAACAAAGTGTTCAAAATATATACACGTGATTCATCCAATTGAAGAAATTTGTTTGGATATAACTCATATATCTGAGAGCTGAAACATGAATAATAATTTAATATTATGTATTATAATATGTATAATAATTAGCCTTTGAATAATTCAAGATAATGTTTGAACAATGAATAAATAAATAATATCTTTCCTTACTTCTTTAAAAATTGGAATCCATGAACACAGACAAGTATATTACCATAGGCATCAACTTTCAATAGATTTCCATAAAGGGTATCGAACCACAATCCTCTGATAGGAAAAACAAAACAATTAAATAGATTAATTAGTTGTATGCAAATAACTGATCAGAGAGTATAGAATATAAAAAAGAAGAGATCAGGTAGTTTACATGAAGTTGGACATTAATGGCTTTAATATTTTTGTTTTATATGCACACACGCACACGTACACACAAACACACACACACACACACATGTATATATATATATATATATATATATATATATATATATAGAGAGAGAGAGAGAGAGAGAGAGAGAGAAATAGTACACACCTTACAGGAAATGAAGGGTCATATTCAAAGCAAAGTATTTCTTGTGGATAACCCAATTCCACTAATCTCTCCTTAACCAGATTAAAGCCAAGAGTTTCATACTGGGGAGACTTGTACTCTGAAATATACATTTAAAAAAATAATAAAGAAATCACCTCTCAGCATTAAATTGAAATAAGTGCAACTAACAGGTATTGGATTTTTGCTATATTTCAGATGATTCGTCAACTGACCACTTTGTTTTTGACCTTAGTCATCAGCATATATCAAATGAAAAGTCATGTAAAAATCATAGATGCAGAAAATTAATAATAACATGCAACAACAATGTGAAATTCATAACATATTCAAATTAAGGAATACTATATTTTTAGGATCGTTCCAATTATAGTATTTGTGCCGCCAGAGCGAGATGTTTAGGAAAAAATACAATATATATATAGTTTTATAATATTTCAAATAGTTATATATTTCAAATTATTCAAAATAATTATTAATCTTTATCTATCAAAATTATGAATAACAAATAGAATTTGTCGAAGTCTAATACATATATTGGATACCAGTAATCAGATATTCCAAAGTAACATTAAGCTAACCAGGAAATCTATATCATCTAAATTTACCTAATTATGCTGTTTTTAGAATAATTAGATACTTAGGTAAATAAAATAATAAAAGAATTCTTCAAGATCACTGAACACTTGCAATAAAAAATCACATGTAAAAACAAGAGTCCTTCACAGGTAATAGTCGTTCCTCAACCAAGTTTTTTCAGTCCCTACACAATTTTTAATTAAAAATTAATACCAATTAAAATAATATCATCAATTATGTCAAAAACGAATAAGTTGAAAATTAAAACTCATTAGAATTAAAATAACTGAAAAACATAAAAAAATTATAATTTTACTAAAAATTTTGTGTCCATTAGTATAAAATAAGTACACAATGTAACTTGCTCTAAGAAATCAATATTAACTTGAGATGAATTTAAAGTTTGACTACAAATGAAAGGTTAAGAAAATTTTCAGTCATAAATTATTCATGTTTTCTAAAATGATTTTTTTAATAAGTAACCAAAAAATTATATTAACTTACCGGCAACAAACTGAAATCAGAAATAAGAAGATACAAAATTCAAAATTTACTAAATTTTACTGAAAAACTTACAACCACTGACAAATCATTATGGATGACCACCAAAAAACTTCTTAAGTTTCAAGACTTTAATCACCCACTACTTACTGATTCCCAAACCTGGTCCAAATCCGACGAAGAAAAAGCCCAACTATTTGGTCAACATCTCTTCCAAACTTTTAACCCACATCCCGATATCCTTAATTCAACTCACATCAATTTTATTGAAGCAGAACTGGATATTCCTCTCCAAATGTCTCTGCCACCCAAAGCATTTCATCCCATAGAAATATCCAACATCATTCAAAAATTACCTTCCCATAAAGCTCCTGGACATGACCTAATTACATCCCAGATCCTAAAACTTCTTCCTCGAAAAGCCATCCTATTCCTTACTTACATATATAATGTTGTACTCCGTTCTACATATTTTCCTGATCCTTGGAAACGATCTATTGTTAAAATGATCCACAAACCCAAAAAACCACCAGAATACCCATCCTCTTACCGTCCTATCTCTCTTTTACCCATCATGGGCAAAATCCTAGAAAAACTCATCTTAAAACGCCTGTACCCTATCCTAAATTCTAAACACATAATCCCAGATCACCAATTTGGTTTCCGAACTTCCCATTCCACTATACAGCAATGTCATCGTGTGGTAAACGTAGTCTCCTCTGCATTGGAGCGCGGAATGTACTGTACGGGAGTCTTTCTCGACGTTGAACAAGCGTTTGATAGAGTTTGGCACCCGGGACTGCTGTACAAACTCCGAAAATTCCTACCACCTACATACTTCCTCATTATCCTTTCCTATCTTACTGATAGATACTTTAAAGTAAATCACAATAACGCCTATTCATCCCTTTTTTCCCAGTCCGCTGGTGTTCCTCAAGGTAGTATCCTAGGTCCTATCCTCTATACAGTTTATAAAGCTGACATCCCTACCTGTCCCAACACTGTCATCACCACATATGCCGATGACACATGTATCCTATCAGTAAACAATGACCCAGCAATTGCATCCCAAATGCTTCAATCACACATCATAAATCTAGAAAAATGGTGTCAAAACTGGAGAATTAAAATAAACTCCAATAAATCCCACCAAATTACCTTTACCCTTCGTCGTAAACCAACGACTTCCTGTCCTACAGTTTCCTTTAACAATACTCCACTTATCCCTGTTGAGCAAATCCGATACCTAGGACTCCACCTGGACAAACGACTAACTTGGAATCCTCATACTAGACTGAAACGACAAGAAACCACTCGACGTTTCCGATTACTTCAGCACTTACTAGACAAACGCTCTAAACTTCCCATTAATTACAAAAGACTCATATACTTGACTATAATAAGACCTATTTGGACTTACGGAGTTGAGCTATGGGGCTCCACTAAACCATCGAATTCCTCTCGCATCCAATCCTTACAATCCAAAATCCTTCGTAAAATCCTCAATGCTCCTTACTTTGTCACTAATAAATTTTCCATAAAGATCTTAATGTTCCTTATGTTTCAGATCTGGCCCAATCCAGATACCTATCCTTCCATAATAAACTTCAGAATCATCCCAACCCTCTCGTTTCTAACCTTGCTTCCTCTTCAATTCCTGATAACCCTCCGAGGCGTCTGAAATGAAGATGGCCCCGTGATCTCCTAATGTAGTCATATCATTAGAGTGCTACCATTGGGTAGTTACTCAGCAAGTGTATTCATGTCATTATATCAATTATGTCCAAATTTACTTGATGTATTTATGTAATACAGTTGTAAATGTCATAAAGAAATAAAAAACAAAAAAAAAAAACTTACCGGCAAGCGTATAATCCATGTCAAATCCATAGAACTTAATATTTTCTAAATGCAAGCTTCTATTGACAAAGATTCTGAAAAAAAAAAAGATAAATATAATAGGTTGCCACAAAATAGGTAGTACAAAATAAAACAAAATTGGTGCTCTGAGAGTTCTAATAATAAGGAAATGAATTGTTGCAAAAATGAAAAGTACCAAAGATTAGAGAAATTACTTTGAAGTTAGGAGCTTGAATAACCAAGCTAAAACTAGATCAAATTGATATGGCCTTTTTAACCACTGGGCATAAAAATATTAATATTAACATAGGGTCAATCCATTTGAAATCATCCACACCATGTTGCTCAACATTTTTTATTATTAAAATTTTTTTATCAGTTATTCCATATTTATTTGAGAGTTCAAAACCAAAGTTAAAACATTTTAAGGCTCGAAGTTTTTCTCAGTGGCCATTCTGAATTTTCTTTCAACTGAAATATGTTTTGGGAAATTGAATATAACTGAGATAATTGTATAGATATCAAACCAAAATAAAAACTGGAATAATGAATGTATTTTGCCTAGATTTCTGTTTATCAACACATCACCTAGATATAAAGAAAAGAAGTTTTAAAAAATCATGAAAATTAATATAGAACGAGATTTGTACCACTGCAAAACATTAATAACGGAAAGAGTCTTAACCTTATTTATTATTTTTTTTTCATATATATTCCTATACTGTAGTCCTACTCTAACTCAGGAATTTTTGCAAATATATATAAAAAAAAAATTAAAATAATAATGATGTTTTGATATAAATTTGTGGTCCTCACAATACATCCTCTGAGTAGGGAAGAAAGTTCTAAACATATTTACAATCAAAAAATGAAAATTAACATAAAACGAGACGTTTAGCAGAAGCAAAACTGTAATCATGGAAAGAATCTTAACTAGCTACAATTTGTTTCTCTTATTCCTATCACTGTACTACTTGCTGATAAAATTTCAATCTTGAAAATCTTGTTTTTTTTCAAATATAATTTTTCAAAAACAGCCAAAAGTAATTTTCGGCATTTTGAATTTGAATATCATAAAATAGATGGTAGATACAATAGAAAATTATGAAATCTGTGCATTTTATAACACTTTAAAATAAGTAAAAATAACACAAATTTGGTGACTGTGACTCAATCGGGTTCAGAGTAATATTGTATGAAATTTGTCTGGAAATCGCATTATTTAAACAATAAATCAGCATCCTGAAATACGAAATTGAGGCACCGAATTGAATATTAGTTTATCATTACATAAATTCTATGGTATGCAAGGGATGCACACAAGGGGATTTCATGGCGAAAGTTGCGCTATCACAATTTTTGAGGGGGTTATATTTTAACGAAATTTTAAAAATTTTGAGGGAGGCACATTTTGATGGAGTTATGAATTTTCAGATTGAATAGTTTCAAATAAAGAGACAAGTTAGAATAACTGGTAAAAAAAGGGTAAAAATTAAAAATGTGGAGTAACAAAATCACTTCAAATTTTGGGTGTTTTCAAATGGATGGACCCCATAATAATAATAGTTCCGCTTTCTTGTATTTTTAGTTTATTATGTTTTACTATTTAGTATTATTCTTTTAGTGATTATACGTTAGATCCACTTGAATCTGACAAGTTCCAATAGGAGTTGTTTAAAATAACATAAATTCTATGCGATGTCCCTTTAACATCAAAAACACAAGAAAGGGTGGACCCTTAGTAAAACTATATTATTTCAGTGAAGGAACTAAACTTAAAGAAAATAACATTTTGCAAAAGAATTCTATAAATGTCTTGGCTTAGCTCCAAAATAGTTAGGATTACAAGTTCTGCCTAAAAGGAATCTAATTTGAAAGTAGTAATACATCCTTATAGAGAATATTTTTAATATACTTGAAAGATGTTTTTTCAAAACATTTTAGAAAAAATAGTCATTATTATTAAATAAATAAACATATTTTCAAATGTCTGAAAAGGGATAAACTGTCACTCTAGAGGCATATTAAAGAAATAAAGGACAACCTACTGCAGTACCAAGAAATATGTCTAGAGCCAAGAATGTCAAGTAATTTGATATTATTTCTGAAAAACTCCTAAATCATTTGATAAAATTGAAACTGGAAGATATAAAATGTCCTTATTCCAACATAAATGAGTTATTGTTTGAAAACAGCTTTACATCTAGCCCTTTTATCTGGAATGATGGAATTCACTGATTACATCATTTTCAACTACTCTCACTGCTATTTCCTGGTCCAAGGAATTCAAAACCATTTATTTTATCTACTAGGAAGATTGTGGATGGACATCGCTCAAACAACAGATTAGTTATTCAAGATGGTAAGAATAAAAAGTATGGAAGAGACAAAGAAAACCTGCACTAGTGTGTCATTCAAGACCAAACTGCAAAGCAGCTCACCAATGGGGAATTGGAGCAGAGCAAGCTATACTAAGAAAAATTACTTGAGAAGACCAATGTTGACCTTACTGGAGAAGGAAAATGAGATAGCAATGATGTTATGCAAATGGCAAGGAGGAAGGGAGGGCTAAGGGTATGGTCGCATCACCAATAATTTGAAAATACAAAAAGTTAAGCAATTTGAACACCTTATACGGTACGAAATTGAGATTTTATAGATACAATGTTGTGTTTTAATATAAAAGAAAATTATTGTAAAGTGCCAACATTCAGCTAGAGTTGAAAGTCTTAAAATATTTTATTTATTTGTTTGCGTCCATATCTAGGCTAAATGGCAATATGGAATTCGGCAGAAGTAGAACTTAGCCGAATGCGTAATACCAATGCTACCAATTTGTTACGCTTCATCATCCTTTTTTAAGATATACGATTTTCTTGATTCGCCCTATTTAATATTCGCCCCTAATCTATTTTATATTATCTGTGGCTCTGGGGTTCTATCTCATCATGCTAAGTCTTGTTATTTTCGGGTTTCGGGGTGAAGTGCCGATGATGTCTATCCAAAAATGAATTGTTTCACTAGAGGATCCAGAGTTTAATTTTTAGGGGGGGGGAGGAGCTCTAGCCCGAAAGCTTTTTTTTTTCATATATATAACCACAATGAATTTAAAAAAAAAAAAAAGAAAGAAACTAACTACCTATATAATATGGTGTTTAAGTGATTCTTGAAGTCCTATTAAATGTAATTACACGAACAATAATACTTTAAGAGATAGTTTTTAATATTTTTTTTTCTATAAAAAATGGTCATGTTTTATCATTTTGGAGGGGACTTCAGCCCGAAAGCCCCCGTAAATCCGCCTGTGAATTGAATCCCTAACCACGTGATCTACAGTTTCCGAAATATTACAGATAGGACATAGAGGATCTACATCGATATCAAGACTATGAAGCTGGTCTCGAATTTCTCTATGTTCAGTGAGAAATAGAAAAATCCAGAAGTCCGGGAGAACCCACTTTTCGTTTAGCCTCAACTGTATCGCGGGGAATTTCCTTAATGTACTACCTTTAGATACACTTCCCCATCGACAGCTCAATCGACCATGCCTCAGTCACGTCCTCACGGATTATTATCTTCTATCTATAAGGTGAATTTTTTTTATTTTATTTTATTATTTGAAAATTAATACATTCTGCTGCATTGGAGGGCATTAATATTAGGGCTACATTAAACATTCACACACAATATATACAAATTATAACTAAAATAGAGATAAAAGAAAAAGAGTTGTGGAAAGCAAAATAAGAAAATTAACATAGACATATAAAAAAAAATAAAATAAAAAAAATAGAGAGAAACTAAATGAAATTGAAATATATAAAACACATTCACACTAATATACAATATTTACATTCGCCCAGAAGATTCCGAGTCATGCTTTGTCTCCCAAATGTGGAAGCCAAGGTAGGACCCCAGGAGATCCCAGTGCTTCTCTCCCAGCCGCGTCACTGGTATTACAAGCTAGTGGAGACTGATGAAGGACAATAAAGTAACAGACGCTCAGGACTTGAGTGGAGAATCTGGCTATTGCCAGTACTCCAATATATACATATTTACAAAAGGTCGCGGGACCACTGCCGTTTTAACCTTCGGGAAGGATTGTAGAGATGGCTGGAGCTAGATAGGGATTGTGCTACAGAATTTGGATGATGAGTGAGTTTCTGGTGAAATTTAGAAAATTTATCTGGGATTAGGTCAATAACAAATGGGATATGAAGGTCATTATGGAGGGTTTTATTGGTTACATACAAGGGAGCATCGACTATTGTTCGGAGGACTTTAGACTGAAAGGATTGAATGCGCTTAATGTTAAAAGGTTTTGTCGACCCCACAGCTCTAGTCCGTAGGTCCAGATAGGTTTCAGGATTGTCTTGTAGATTTCTGTTCAGATGAGATTTTCTATTCATTAGTCTATATAGCTGTCCGTATCGTCTGTTTAGTTTTGTCTTTTAAGTATGGTATGTGGGTTCCACGTTAGTCTTTTATCTAGAAGAAAGCCAAGATACCGGACTGTGTCTGAGAGAGGAAATGGTATGGATTTGGATTCATTTACTTGGATGCGCCATTATTAGACCATTGTTCAATAAGAGAAAGGTGACTTTGTAGTTTTACGGATGCTGTTTTAGGATCTGGATTGGAAGATAGGATGGCTGTGTCATCAGCGAATGTTGCCAGGAGGGTTTCGGGATGAGTAGGATTATCAGCGGTTAACAGAATGTAGAGGACGGGACCCAAGACGCTGCCTTGAGGAACTCCCGCCTCAATTGACTGGCAGTTGGAGTATTCTGTACCACAGAGAACTTGAAAGAAGCGGTTAGATAGGTAGGATCGGAGTATTACATATAAGGACTGGAGTAGGTGGGTTTTGAGCTTGAAGAGTAGTCCGGTGGGTCATAAGCGGTCGAAATCTTGCCCGATATTCAGGAATGCTAACGAGCAATTCTCTTGCTTTCTAAGGTTGAGGATATGTGGTCAACAATTCGGAGTCCTTGTTGAACAGATGAATGCTGGAAACAAAATCCGAATTCATGGGTAGGAAGGTTTTGTGATTCTATTATGGGTAGGATTATTTTTATCAGGATTT